GAATATTGGAAGCGTGCGCGCGATGGCAAGTGATGTATTGTAGACCGCGGTAATATTCTACGCGAAAAGAAACAAAACGGAAAATGTGTTCGAACATTGGAAATATTATTTACCGACGAATATAGAAGTCGCGGCGAGAGAAATGTGCGAGCAGGCGCAACGCAAAACTATTTATTTTCGCTTCGATCATAGTGCACTCAAACATCACATTGTAATTGAATTTGATTACGTAAAAAAAAAAAAAAAAAACAATCGACCGAAGAATATTGCTCTTACATCGAGCACACTTTCAAACAAATTTCTCACATAAAATTCTCTTGTTATCATAAAATTGTAACTTCCAAAATGTACATTAATGAGGGTAACGAGTATCTAAAAAATTATTGTTGAATTTTATTATACAAGCGTACGAGAAAAAGGACGGTTTCGGTTCGTAAAATTTTATTGGAGCAAAGAAATTAGTAACAAATGACTATGTAAAAAATCGTTATTTGCGCTTTCGAAATAAGAGCAATCATCAAGGCCCTCAAAGCTGTCACTCGCGATCACAAGAGCGCAGTGATTACCGAACACTCCTCGATATCTGAACGAGTAAACTTCATCGTGGCGGATCAATGAACGGCCGTTTCTGTGGAAAATTCGTTCCCCGATGTGAGAATCAAATGCAACGGTCGGCGGAAAAAGACGAACCAACCGGGGTGGAGATTCTCCGGGATTCGTATTAATTCTTAATTTCTTAATTTCAAGTCGACCGTTAAGTACAGAGCGTCAAAGAGGTCCGCTCTCTTCCATCGGCAACCGCCGTTCCTCTCCCTTATCTTTCCACCGCTTCATCCATCCTCGTTTCCGGCTCTTCGAAGGCTTGTCGAAGGAGGCAGGGCCGGAAAAAAGTAGGAGGCGAGGGTTGGCGAGCGAGCGCAATTAAGCTCTCGCTCTCTTCGGAGATCCATTCATTTTTCAGGTAACGTCGCCGGACGGCCTCATCTAAGTTTTAAATCGCGTGCTGGCGGCGGTCTGCGATATGCGACCGACCTTAGACGAGAAGGACGGAGGGAAGGTACATCAGAGTCCGCCACCAATTTATGTATATCGAGTCGAGATTTGCATTCACGCTAACTATTACACTCGATTCTTTGTAAATTTTAATGACAGCAGGAAGTCCCTGGCTATGTAGCCAGATATTTGCCAACGTGCCCTGGTATACGTAATCGGGTCCGTAATAGTGTAGAAACTTTTTTATTTTTTTTTTTTTTGCTTAAATGCATCTCATTATATTGCCCTGGTAACTCTAAAGATGTTAGATTGGAAGTCAAGATTGAAACAGTAAAAGCAAACTATCTTTCGCGCAAAAAAATCCGACTTATCCTAAAAGCATCAGAGACTATGTTTTGAAATCGTTACTCTGCTACGTTTAAGTGTGTCACTTAATGCTCCAAAAATTTCTCGCAATAAATTTAAAACGAGCTTTTGTCTCATTATACAAAAAATTCACGTATTGACCGAAAAGAGATTAAAAGAATCACTTTCCTCTTTTCCAGAATAAATAATCGATACAGCTTTAAATGGTGTATTTATCTTCGGACAACGCGCTTTTCAATATAGTCTAATTAAATTTAAATCGCTTCATTGGAAACACGAAAATTCACGCATTCTCAACTCATGAAATATGTAAAGAGAAATTAAAATAATCGACTAGCGCGTTATTTAAACGGAAATTAAATGTATGCGGAAAATATGTTTAAATTCTTCGGCCATAAATACGTACAAATGTTTGTAAGAACGAAATGATCGTTTCTGAAAAGTTTCATAAACCGGAACGCAATGAGTATAACGCATTTCCCGGCAATGCCATTAGCTTTATCAGCTACCTCGTGGTCTAGCTATTTCGACGACAGAGATTTCCCACTTGCGCCCTCCCTTTCTCCCTCGCGTTTTCACCAAGCAAAACTGGAATCAGATACGTATCAACGAGATGGAACATCGGACTGAGCCGCAAAGACCAGCGATAGAAATTTATGGTAGGACTCGCACTTGTGTGTGTCTTTACACTCCAAACGCGATAAAGCACATTAAAAAGCACGTTAATATCTTATCTAACGTGTAATAATATCGGCGATAGTCGTATCAGAAATTTGTTTATGCGATTACCGAATTTAAAAGGACTTAATGACAGATGGATCACGCGTGAGTGAAATATATTACCAAGGTATAAATGTCAAATAAAAATATGTAAAAGTCTAATAAGAAAAGGCATAAAACAGCCCCCCGAGGGTACATAAGAAAACAGATTCTGATTACTTAACAAATGGCATGGCTCCAAATTTCCGCCCTTCACTTTTATTCAGTCCGTTAGTCGTCTGGTGTGAATACAGCGCGATCGTGTATACTCGCAGTTAGTAGTACGTGGGCGTAGACACGAACTTGTGTATACGCTCACGTGTCCGTGTGTGTGTCCGTGTGCGTGTGTGTCATCATACGTAGGAGTCGAATTCCGAAATGGCGTCATGTACGTTTGCCAGTGCGCGCGCGTGCACGTATCCGATCGTATCTCCAATGTGGGTCATACACATAGACGAAGTCTCGAGCCGCTACGAGCCGGAAACTCTGCATTCAAAGCCGGACTTTCGGCGGAGAACGGGGGAGAGAAGGTGGGATAAGGAAGAGGGTTAGGCCGGAGATAGCGGCAGACTCTCTGATATCTCGAGTCCATTTCTGCCTCGTGCCACGACAAACGTCGTGTGCGTCCCGACTTCCCTCTTCCTTTTTCTTCCCCTTTCCTCCTCTATCACCATCCTCCGAGTCATATTCCACTACTACTACTACTACCACTCTCGACCCTTCGAAACTACATCGTGTCACCTGAGAGCCGAGCATATATCTCCCGCCGCGGTTGGAATCGACCAAGTTTTCCAATAAATTTCTATATCCGCCGGCTGTGCATCTGCAACGGACGACCCGGGGACTGCCTTATTATGCGGCCGTTCGGCACTGCCGAATTCTCTCCACATCTCGATTCCCCACCGTCAATGATAAGCGGTGTCGGTTCTTTCGAGCGCTCCGCTGCAGCAGGAGCTTTAACCGTCCCGATGCACGTTATGCATGTCTGACCGTGACAAGAAATCTGATTCACCATAACGGAAGGACGCTATTGCGATTTTCATGCATGATATACGCGGCTTCTTATTGCGAAGAATTAGGTTACAGGTCGATATGTCAATTCTAAGATACGTACGTTACACGCGATCTCCGAATACGTTCAAAAAAAATGATGGAATAATTTCACTTGTCGTTTTGACATTTCTGATTTAATGTTGTTAGAAATGTCAAAACTCGTTTAAGTCGAAAAGAAGAGTAATTTGAAAAATTTCCATTGACATTTCGTGAAATATTAATGTACATATTCATAAGGCGATAATAATGGAAGAATGTAAATAAAATATAATTGATACATGTACACACATAGTTCGGCTCGTTTAGCCCGAAAATAATGCTCGTAAATGTTAAATAATAATAATAATATTCAGCCAGGACGTTTTAACTTTAACAATTCTACTAATTTTATGATATCGTTCCAAAACGGAAACGAGATAGCCGAAAACTTTGCGCATAATAATTATTCCATCCTGCCCATTAGAATCGTTTATTATTACTGCCTCGTGGAAAGCCATTTAGAGGAATCGTGCTGGAATTGGAACTGGATTGAAGATCGCGCGTGTGTTCGATTCGATCGAACTCGATGAAGAAACCCGCACAATAACGCAATTCGAAAGATTTTCCGAGGATCGATAGACGCTAACTAGCTAAACTTTTTGTCCCAATTGTTAGCAATATCTAATTATTCGATCTACTGTTTATTTCGCATATATCCTTTCTTTCAACATTTCTTCTTAAACAAATCTTATGATAAGAAAGTGCTCTTAACTGCCAAAATACGATATCAAGTTATTGCTCAATGATGTAATCTTACAGTATAAATTGCTTATAATTATATCGAAAATCATCCATTAATTAGTGCTCCGATATCTCAGATTTTGAGATTGATTATTAAAGAAAATATAAATTATATAACATGTATCAAAACTTGCAATTTTGATTATTCGATAAATATCGCAAAACGTTTTGTCAACAAAACTTTTAAATTTTAATTTATCCAACCATTTCGACGTATACATCGAAGTAATTTTTGATTCATGAAGAAGAATCTAAATATGAAAAAGTAAAACACACAATTTTTGTGATAATGTTAAGGTTGATTCTCTGTAATCCACGAACAAGTTAGGCCGCTGAACTAAATGAGATCATTCGCACGTAAATAATATTATGTCGCGCATTTTGAAACAATCCAAATAGAGCGATACCCCGATATCACCGTTATGAGCCATAACGATCAAAATTCATAGGAGCTACAGCGAGGCAGAATTGTCGTCGCGCGCCGTTGACGTCGTGTAAATGGAAATGAGTGCACTTGTTCGTCCAAAAATCAATAGCGTTCCGCGCGAAATGGCCAATAAAATATGCAAAAGTACTAAACAATGTAAATCCCATGAATCACAGTCGTCGACAGTGCCGCTCGATTTTGCGACGCGAGAGGAAATGGCGAGGATGTGCGATACATCGATAATGTAACCGACTGAAATGATAGTCAATGATATCGCGTTCATGATTCCAGCGAAATACAGCAATACGTTGCACAATGCTTGTAAATTTTATAAATTCAAAATAATATAAAATTGCAAAAATTTTCGAAGAATTATTTATAGTAAGAGCTTAACTCTGCATCGTTAATTATTAATATGCGACGTCCATTTTTATAAAAATAGATATTACCAAATATATTATAATAAAAAAAATCGTCTAATGTTTTTTTTTTGTTCTAAAATAATCATCGCTTAACATTTGCAATGTTAAAATAAAGTCCGTCGAGGATTTGACAGGTTTTATTCTGTATTGCAGAGCAATATAATAATGTTGCAAAAATACTGATATTTATTATTACTCACCGGACCGAATTGTTCGAAGTAGTTTTTGACGTCCTCCAACGTCGTCGGCGCCGATAATCCCCCGACGAATATCTTCTTTGTCCTTGTCACCATCTATAAAAAAAGAAACAGATAATATAAATTGAAAACAGCTAGAACAATATATATAGGTATATATATTTGTTTAAAACATTTTTAAAATAATGTATTTAATAAATTAATATTAAAACTAAAAATGTGATTCTCCTTCTCACCTTTCTTTACAAATTATATAAAAACATAGAGAAGCAACACGACTAATAATGTTCGAAAAACAGGAAATAAAATTTCGAGCGTACGACTATGCTAGCAAAATTGATAAAGAATTTATTAAATATGGATGGTTTGTGTCTAGATATGCTACGACATTTCCAGGTAGACTCTCTTCCATTGACGGTGTTTTTGCTATTACTTCTAGCCTTTCATATTGCCCTATCTGTCTGGATATCGGCGGGAGAGTTGTAAATAATCGATACGCAGATGCATTATTAATAGCGCCGAACTTACTTCAATATAACGTATCAATACGTAAAGACAAAAAAAAATAGTCGCATAATATTCTATTTTCTACAAAATTCGAAAGATAACTTCTGAAAACAAAATATATAGTATATACGATTTCCTCTTCTCAGTGACTACGGAAATCTCCGTAAAGAAAGAAGCAGAAGAGTGAAAAAGGGCAGCTGTTGCCCCGGAGAATGTTACCAGATAATGCTTTAAAGAATGGAATTTGAGAACGGCGCGGTAAAAGGTCACGGTTGAAATCGAAAGAAATGCTATTGGGTGCACATTTGTTGCATAGATACGTCGCAAATGGGCGTATCGCGAAAAAGCACAGCGACGTCGGAACAAGTAGCACGGCATCGTTTCTTAAGATTGTTCATGGCGAATCCAAAGCGCGACATCGGATCTTGTCTCGGATATGCGGCTACATGCGAATACTAGATAAACTCGACGTCTCTCCGATCTCCGATATATTCCTCGCGTCTTCCGTGAGATATCGAACGCTACCCAGACATATATCAGAAACTATATCAAGTCTTGTGGATATTCGAATATGATATACATATACATAATAATAATCGGTAACGTTCTAGAGAAATTGAAAAAATTGCTCCAGAATCATTATGAGGATGCAAAATAATAAAATATTTTTAAAATGTAATTTAATGTCAGCAAATATATAACCAAAACTTGTCTCGATTTATTATTGAATAAATTAAAATAAGTTTGTACACACAATTGTATTTTACATTTAGTACTTTATATATTTAGTCATAATCAATAAGATGAATTAAAAACGAATTAAAGACAATTTATGTAGTATTTAAATTCGTACAGAGTAAGATGCAAATACAAACGCTACCCAGACATATATCAGAAACTATATCAAGTCTTGTGGATATTCGAATATGATATACATATATATAATAATAATCGGTAACGTTCTAGAGAAATTGAAAAATTTGCTCCAGAATCATTATGAGGATGCAAAATAATAAAATATTTTTAAAAATGTAATTTAATGTCAGCAAATATATAACCAAAACTTGTCTCGATTTATTATTGAATAAATTAAAATAAGTTTGTACACACAATTGTATTTTACATTTAGTACTTTATATATTTAGTCATAATCAATAAGATTAATTAAAAACGAATTAAAGACAATTTATGTAGTATTTAAATTCGTACAGAGTAAGATGCAAATACAAACGCTACCCAGACATATATCAGAAACTATATCAAGTCTTGTGGATATTCGAATATGATATACATATATATAATAATTGGTAACGTTCTAGAGAAATTGAAAAATTTGCTCCAGAATCATTATGAGGATGCAAAATAATAAAATATTTTTAAAAATCTAATTTAATGTCAGCAAATATATAACCAAAACTTGTCTCGATTTATTATTGAATAAATTAAAATAAGTTTGTACACACAATTGTATTTTACATTTAGTACTTTATATATTTAGTCATAATCAATAAGATGAATTAAAAACTAATTAAAGACAATTTATATGTAGTATTTAAATTCGTACAGAGTAAGATGCAAACACAAACGACAGTGATGGCGTAATGCGATCGTTAAGTAGTCGGATAAACACGAAGTAATTCAATAAAGAGGGCTCATCGATTTCTCCGTAAAATCAGCCACTTCGACAAGATAGATTAATATGAAGAGCTTAAAGGAGCTGAAAGGAAGATGTCGGGGAAAAACCGATACTTCTAGTCTTGAAATCTTGATAATACAATCGCATTGTAATAAAGCCGCGGGCGGGCAGGCTGAAGAGAATGAAAGGCAGGAGTCGAATATTTTACAGGCGGAAACTCCATGCTGAGAAAACGAAAGCTCGATCGGGGATGGAAGAAGAGACAGAAGAGGGAGAGGATGTGCGGCGGAAGAGGTAAACTCTGGCAATTTCAGTGATGGCTGGGCTTAGACATCTCTATATCCGGTGAGTAACGCAAACCCCGCGAGTCCTTCCATCCCTTCCACGCTCCTGAATTCGACTCCCTCTTCTTTTCCGCGTCCCTAACTCTTCCTCAACCCCATGCAAACTCCGCGGCGTTCTTCGTTTCGACGTTCTCCGCCGAAGGGGAATGAGAGAGGTAAGATTTCTCGCGAGGTGGGTTAATCAGCGAAGTGTATAAAGTCTCGGGGATAAAAATAAAATAGCGAGGGATCTCGAAAATTAAATAAACGACTCGCCCCGGTTTCGTCGGCGAGAAGTTCATCGTAAGAAAATAACAAAGAGAGAGAGAGAGAGAGAGAGAGAGAGAGAGACACGCTCTCGGGGATAAAGAGGGATGATATCATGGATGGATAAAGTGAAGAGGAGAGAAACAATGGAAGAAGGCGAACCTAAACTAAGGAGGCCACTTATTCGAATGAAGCTGCTGCAGCTTCTATTTCTTTCCTTGAGTGCCGAAAGCGGGAACTCGACTTCTTTCATGTTCTCCACCGATAAACGAGAATTTCAGTTTGAAATCTTTTTACATTTTGCTATTGCCGATCGCGTAATGAGCACATTGTCTAGTGAAAACTAGAGACTTTTAGCGCATTTTTCATTTTGTTCTCGACAATGATTCGTGAAAAAAAAGCTTTTGTTCACAAAAGTAAATAGAACATGAAAAAAAAAAAAAAGAAATTTGTTTCCACAAATTATTTTTATCGCTTTTAGTAAAATATTACGTAGGTACATATCGCGAACCAATTTGCAAGACAAATTTAAAAAGTCTCATTTGTAGTGTCATATAATCGCGAATTTATTTGTCGCGAGAAATCTAAAGAGGAACAATAGAACCGCATTTCTCATGCAATAAATATAGACTGAAGAGATATCTGATTTGTCAAGTCACTATCTCTCTTATTACGACGAAATAAAATCCGCGTATTTAAAGAGCTCGAGGGAGAGAGGAAAAAACCAACTAACGAAATAAGTGGTCGAATTTTCGTCGCGAAGACGCGACGCGAACAAAAGATGAGGTTTGAGGTTTGGATCGCTTCTCGCCGCGGTTAACCCGACGAAGAATAAGGTGGAAAAATATAAGTCACGAGAGAAACGAGGAGGAGAGCGGTGCCCTCGGGTCGTTAGCGAAGATAAGAGCGGATAGCAGCAGAATGGTAATGGAAACTCGGCGAGTTCCACTTATTACGCCGTAGCATTATGTAAATACCGGAAAGCTATTACAATTTTACAACTTACTAGGAGTGGCTTTATAGTTTCATCGCTTGAGGGAGAGGATGCAGGAGAGAGGACCGCCTCATCCCTCTTTACCGAACTCCTGCTTTTCTCACCCGATACGACCGCGTACACGTTTCTGGCTCGCCTTTAACGCTTTTGCATCTACGAAAATGAAATCGCCCGGAGAAAGGAAGACGTGGAGAAGCTACCTCTCTATTTGCGGAAATTTAATATTCATTTATAATATATATTAAAATGCTCTGTCGTTTAATATGACTTCATAACTATGTATACATATATTGTATACGTAGAAATAATTTTATATTAATTTTATTATACTGTATTCTCTACTAACGGTTTATTGCGATTTATTAAAAAACAAAAAAAAAAACGTGAAATTTGCATAAAAAAAATAAAATAATAAAAACGTATTAACTACTATAATAGCGCAAAATGCAGGGCCTTTATACTTTATTACAACGATTGGCTTGTGAAATAAAAATTTCATTCCCAAACAAATCAAAATTATTGTGCATAACGCAAATGACGAGCGGAAACGTGAAGTTTTCGTAATAAAAAGCGCGCGTTTAATGACGTCACGCGCAATTCCATAAAGAATAAAAAAAGGACAAAGGAAAACAAGGACAATAGTCAGCGTGTCTTTTATGACCATCGGGCATTATCGTTCCACATTATTGCGATGTATTCGTAAATGTCATAATCAGTCCCGCGTTTTCACGGCGTTTCCATCCCTTCGATGAATGCACGAAGAGTGGGAACGGCAAGAAAAATATTGAAATAAACGTTAATCAGCGGTCTCGCGTTCGTGCTTTAACGGCGAATGCTTTTACCTTCGTTCGCGATCATTTTGCGCGAGTTTAATCGTGTGTTTGCTGATACCATACGAATTAACACAACTGAGAAACGTCCGAGATCACGCAATTCGCTACAAGTGCAGACGATTTTTTAACGACCGTGTAAATCCGTGCCATTAGATAACAACACGAAATGTATGTTGCGATTACTTCCTTTTATATACAAAGCAACGCCGTAATCGCATAAATGAAGCATAAATGTGAAGAAAATTTCACATTTTTGTCAAGTGATATTTTAACAAGGCTGTGGGACGAAACAAAAAGCTCGAAAGAAACATAATCGCGGACAAGTGCGTTATCTAACGTTACGAATAAATTATCGCTTTCCATTGTCATGTATACTATCAATTTAGCAACGCAATAGCTTTTGGTAACGTGTATCCATGGTTGAATGGCCCATCTGTATTATTACATCGCAATACTGTGGCAATCAACTCAACTTTAAAATCGATAACCTCAACGCATTGCGAATATTGCTCTGTACATTCTATCCCTTCAGTGAT